TTGCTTTCAAACTTATATTTTCAACATGAATATCTCTACTAGAGACTTTTACATTTCATCAACTTTCAATGTTTTTACCATCCTCTTTAATGTTTTAGCAGCTTTCAAAATTTTATGAACATGACTAGGACTGTTGAAATAAAAAGGATGAATTGATAATATACTAATGAATTATGTTTATGGATCTGACAGCAAATATTGCATAAGCATAATTATTATTAATATCAACGGGAATAGAATGATTGCATATATATACATATTTATATACACACTATTTTCAGAGTAGACTGAAAACAAGAAAATCAATACAAACTTGTTTCACAAATCTATTACGACATAAATGTCTACAATTTCTTAACAGAGGAGGAGGAGGGGAAGGAAGAGGAGGAAGAGAAGGAAAGGAGGAGAAGGAGGAAGAGAAGGAGGAAGAGAAGGAGAAGAAAGAGGAGAAGAAGGAGGAGAAGGAGGAGGAGGAGGAGAAGAAGGAGAAGAAGGAGGAGGAGGAGGAGGAGGAGGAGGAGGAGGAGGAGGAGGAGGAAGAGGAGGAGGAAGAGGTGGAAGAGGAAGAGTAGGAGGTGGATGATGAGGTGGAAGAGGAAGTGGAGGAGGTGGAAGAGGAGGAGGAGGAGGTGGAAGAGGAAGAGGAGGAGGAGGAGGAGGAGGAGGAGGAGGAGGAGAAAGAAGAAGATTGAGGAGGAAAGAGAAAGGAGAAGTCAGAAAGAGGAAGGAAGGAAGGAAGAGGACGAGAAGGAGGAAAGACGTAGAGAAAGAGGAAAAAAACAAAAACAAGAAGAAAGAACAATTAAACAATTAACCCCCCACCCCCCCCAAAAAAAACCAAAAAAAAACACACAAACGACTCACCCAAACACCCTTTTTTTAAGCCTCACCTGGTCGTATGTATGTTGTCGATGGTGAGGGACATCTCGGCGGTGCTTCGGGAAATACGGACGTCGTGCCACAGGAGATCGTCCAGCCGGAGTCTCGGGGGCGAGGACAACTCCGATTCCCCGGCGCCGAGGTTGATTCTTACCTGGGGGAGGAAGGGCGAAGAGAGGGAGAGAGAGAGAGGGAGGGAGGGATGGAGGGGGGTGGGGGGTTGGGAGAGGAGGGTGGGGGTGGGAGGGAGGTGGAGGGTTGGGAGGGAGGTGGAGGGTTGGGAGGGAGGGAGGGAAAGAGAGAGGGGGTTGGGAGAGGAGGGAGGTGGGGGTGTGAGGGAGGAGAAAGGTGGGGGGATGGGAGTTGGGAGAGGAGATAGGGGGGGCATTGGGAGAGGGGGATGGGGGAGGGGGTTGGGAGAGGAGAGAGGTGGGGGATGGGAGGTGGGGGGTTGGGAGAGGAGAAAGGTGGGGGGAGGGAGATAGGAGGAAGGGGAGGGAAGGAAAACGGAGGGAGGAGGGAGGGTTGGGTGTTGGAAGTAGGGTAAAGGGGGAGGGAAGGAAGGGAAAGGGATTATGAGAAGAGAGAGGGAGAAAAGGAGAAAGCAGGAGGGGAGGAGGACGTGGGTGTAAGGAAAGTACAGAGAAAGGAGATAGGGAAAAGGGGAAATTACGAAAAGGAGAAGAAGAAGGAGGGATTACGAGGGGGGAGGGAGGGAGAAGGGAGATAGCAAGGGAGGGATTGTGAAAACGAGAAGGAAGGGAGTTCGACAAGGCAATAGGGTAAGGGAAGCGGAAGAAATGGAAGGGAAATGGGTAGGAAGTTGATGCGGAAAAGGGTGGAGGAGGGAGAGTGGAGGGAAGGTAGTGGAGGGGACGGGGGAGGGAGGAGGAAAAGTGGAGGGAAGGAAGTGGAGGGTAGGGAGAGGGAGGAGGAAGAGAGGAGGGAAGGAAGCGGAGGGTAGGGGGAGGGAGGAGGTAGATTAGGATGGAATAAGGGGGGGGGGAGGAGAGGATGGAGAAAAAAAAAATTAATACATTGAATATAGACTGAAGTTTAATCACATCTGTATAATTCCACTTTAATTTTTTGATAGCAGGGAGGGGGGGGGGGCTCAAACTGAAATTGAAATTATCACTTTCTTTAATAGAAATATTACGAGATTAAATCCTGGGAATAAAAAAGAGGGGGGGGGGGTAAAGCCATCCGGGAGTAAAATATATTCAGCATTTTTTTTTTCTTTTTTTCTTGAGAATTTATGAGCTATAACCGGCGTCTGAGAGAGAGAAAGAGGGGATAGTAGAGAATGGAGAAAGAGAGGAAGAGAGGAAGGCGGGAAAGAGAGGGGAGTCCGAGAACGAGGAGATAGAGAAGAGAAGAAAGGAAAAGAAAAGAAAAAAGAAAGATAAAAAAGAGAAAAGAAAAGAAATGAAAAGAGAAGAGAAGAGGAAATGAAAGGAGAGAAAACAACACACGCACAAACACACACAAACACAAACACACACACAAATACACACACACACACACACAAACACACAAACACACACACACACACACACACACAAACACACACACAAACGCAAACACACACACAAACACAAACACACACACACACACACAC